TCGGTGTGTGTGTGCCTCCTCTCTGTGCTGTGGCTGGAGGTCTCAAAGCGGGTGTAGAAGGTGTTGAGGTCATCTGGCAGGCTGTCTGTGGAGCTGACGATGCTGGTGGTGGTCCTGTAGTCTGTGATGTGCTGCAGGCCTTGCCACATCCATCCAGAGTCAGCAGTAGAATAGAAGCCATTCAGCTTCTCTCTGTACTGCCTCTTGGCCGCTGTGACGACTTTCCTCAGTCTGTACTTTGCAGCTTTGTACTCCGTCTCATCGCCTGATCTGAATGCATGAGAGCGAACATGCAGCATGTGGCGTACCTGACTGTTTATCCAGGGCTTTTGGTTGGGGAACCTCCTGACTTGTATGGTGGGCACAATGTTGTCGATAAAGGTACTAATGTATCCATTCACATACTCAACATAATCCTGTACGCTGACAGAAAAGTCCTCTGAGGTGGCTGCAGCTTTAAACACATCCCAGTCTGTCTTGGCGAAATAATCCTGCAGGATGCCTTCAGTCTCTGGGGTCCAGAGTTTAATTTGCTTGGTGACAGGGTTTGTTTGTTTCAGTCTTTGTCTGTAGGCTGGATACAGGAACAAAGAAATGTGGTCCGAGCGTCCAAGGTGGGGGCGAGGTGCAGCCCTGTATGCACCACGTATGTTACTGTAAACATGATCCAGAGTGTTCTTGCCCCGAGTGGGAATGTTCACATGTTGGTAATATTTGAGAAGTACAGTCTGTAAATTAAGCTTGTGTAATTCATTTGCATCTCAGTGTCCTGGCTGAGTGAAACAAACAAGGACCAGACCTCAACTTAAAGCTACAATGTGTGGTAATTTTCAAATTTTTTTTTTAGTAGAAACATCCCCAAAACATATCTTAATGGAGAGAGAGTTGCTGTCAAAGGCTCCTATGACCCAGACTCAAACAGCCTAGCAGCACTTTCTCTATGACTCTCTGTATAGTTAAAGTGGCTGTGGATTGGTCTATATGAGTGTTTGTGAGCACTGCAAAACACTTACAGGCTGCTGGGTTGAGCTGATTTGACATGAACTGTTTCCTGGTGGAGAAACAAGGTGTTTTGGTAAACAAAAACTGGCTTTATTAAGGTTAATAAGACTTAAACTATACTGTTGTTTTAACTTTGTACTCATGGAAATACAAACATAAATATGCTTCTTACTGGTACTGTGACCCTGGGGTCCTCATGGGTGCAGACATTTTCAGCTGAAACTCTGCTCCGATCCTTCTTTGTCAGAGCTACAGAGACACAATGAACAATCAACAACTGTCATGTGTTACCAGAGACACTGAACATTTGAGATGAAAGCAGATAAATGTGCTCGTTTTAGTGTTGTATTGCGTTGAAATAAAGATTTTTTTCCACTTACTGGGGTCAGGATGGAGAAAAGCCGGGTTTCTGTGGAGCTCTGTGAAGCCAGCATAAGAATTGACTGCTCTGATATGACTCTGACCTTCAGGCTGAGCCTGCAGCTGTAAAAGAGACCGAGCCAGAAAGAGAAGGTGAGCATTATTCTGAAATACTGATTAAAGGTAGGGTTGATGGTTCTTTTTCTAAGTATTTTTGTTACATATATTGAAATTCTCTTTTCATCCCAATGGCAATGAATACATTAAATGCACTGACGGAAGTTGCTACCTGCATGCCGTATGAGTGTGAGAATACCGCTACATGGAATTAATCCTTTTACATGCAGTCAGCTTTAAGTGTATTGATAGGACTGTAATGCAGTTAACTGGGCATCAAAGGCCACATGCAGTGTCCATGTTACCAAGATGTAATTAAAACATGTGTTTTGAACAGAGTTAGTTGGCCTCCCTCTTCACTTCTCCCCGCTGGAAAAGCCTGGACTTCCAAGGCTAGTTAACGTCTACGACCCAGGGCTGAAGCAGTTTAGTCATGAACTAGAGGTTCCCAACTAAGGTTTGGGGCTGCAGATCTGGACAGGTAACACTACCTGACAAATTTACAACTAAAAAGAAGTTGGATACTGCAAGAAGTAAAACCAGGCTTAAGGCTTTTGAACAACGGTGACAACTGAGAAAACAAAAGGGGCTGAAAGATGAAGCCATAGTGGCTGTGTTTCTGCTGGACAGGTAATCATCGCTTTTGTTTTGTTTGAGGGGCATTTGTTATTTTCCTAAAATCTGTGTGTAGTAGTCAGGCAGTGCGAATTGCAGTGTGCTTTGTGTTTTGGCTTTGGAGAGAAGTCAAAACGAAAGGGTGGGATTTCTTTGATTGTCTACTTTCAAAATCAAGCTTCCTCTTGCTGGTTTTTCCAGGAGCACCAACTCTACCTTTAATGATAAATTTCACTTTTTTAACATTATCAGGTAAATTATAAAGTATGGCTGCAAAGGACAAGACTGTAAAAGTAGCAAACTAACACAACACACACAACTTAATGGTTCAGTGAGTTCTGAAGTTTTATAGTGGTGGCACCACACCTCTTCTGAAATACTGTGCCTCAGCTAATGTCAGAAGAAACTATTACATTTTTCTGAAATACAGTAAAATATGACTGACCTATTTAAGAGACAAAAGATTTGCACAAACGGCTTTTCTGAGAAAAACTACAAACAACGATACAATGATCCATGTAATCACACACCTGCAATCTGCTCTGTGTGGTCGGGCTTTGCCGTCTGCTGGAGGTAGTGTCGTCCTTGGGTGTAGAGTCCTGGAGGTTCAAACTCTCTTTATGTCCTGAAACCCAGAAAATATTGTTAACCCATAATTTCAAATACCCTCTCACATTATTAAAATAAATATTAAAATGTAATACTTTTATTTTGCCTAAGTAATTCATGTTTGCCTCATGTAACCGTTTCCCCAACAACACTTCAGAAAAATAAATTATTTGACTGAGTGTGAGTATTTACTAGTCCCACTGTGAAATCTAAGACAATCACTGTTTTGACATTCAGAAGAACACAAGCAAACTCGCTGCCATGTCTGGTGACGTGACCAACACCACAAGAGTGAAATAATCACAGTTCAAACATCTGATTCTTATGAAAAATGTCTCCCTTCACCTCCATCTGACAAACACATCCATAATAAATCACTGGACTGAAAATTTTGACCAGCAAAAACCCCAGAGTCACCCAGGAACCAAGAATTAACAAGTTAAAGAGGCCTTGACAGAGCAGAGAAAGAAAAGGGCACCAGCTACAAGTGTACTGGGATCCTGATTTTGAGGTGGACAGACTCGAGCATCCGGCAGACACAGCTTTCAACATCAGCCTGAAACTCAAACCTCTCGTGTTTGGCCCTCTTGCTGCATTCTTCTTGTCAAGGGGGACTTCTAACCCATTTTGCCCCTCACAGCAGGACACTGGACATCTGGATTCACTCCACTGTCGGTGGGGTCTCCTGGGTGCCAGTGGAACTTCAGTGGCTGCACCACGTCTGCTCAGAGAGCTCGATCTGCCCTCGTCGTCGCAGAACGCCTCATTCACATACCCCCACTGTCTCTCCCTCTCCCCCGTTCCTAACCTCTCCATGTTCCCAGGCTTCACAGTGCATGCAGGAAAGCAGTCAGACTGAGCAGAGTCCACAGGCGAGATGACAACAGTAGGATACACACAAGCACAGTTTCCAACCTTCTCTTTTTTCCCCTCACCATCACCAGATTCACCCTCAGTCTGATACTTACCCACAAAGACACCAAACTCTACTGTGGTGCTGTCTGGCTGGGGCAGCTGCTGGCATTGCCCAGCTGGGGCGAGCTCTGGGTGGCTGGAGGCACTGGACTGGGAAGGGGTGCTGCTGATGTGGAACTGAGCCACAGGGGAGGGCACACTGGGCAGGCTGGATAGAGAGTCAGAACGGCCCAGCTCTTGTGGACCAGTTAGCTTACTCTGGGTGAGAGAGGGGCCTTGCAGATGCAGCTCCAAAGGGGAAATGGCCACAGCACTTTGGACAAGGGCACTGGAGCCAACACTGCCTGAGGAGCCAGCCTCTGCAGCAAGGTGCCCGAGCCCAAACAACCCCCTCCTCTCTGGACTCAATGCCAGATTCAGGTTGGGGTCCCGCCCCAGTTCTGCTCCAGGGCTGGCCCAAACTTCCTTGTTTCTCTCCGTCCCAGCTCCTCCCCCTACACCAATCCCAAAAAGAGAATCTGCTATGTTGGCTCCTGTCTGGGGGAAAGAGGAGCCGAAGAAGGCCCCCACACTGCGTTTGCCTATCACAGATGATTTGGAGTGGGGGCCGGTGTCTGTTGGGGCGATGCTGGGGACCACATTCTTAGACAGGCTGAGCTCCCGGGTGATCTGATTGTGGACCTTGCTGTCCTCTGACACCCTCTGGGCACTGAGGGTCTTCAGAGTGTCCACAGTCAGAGCTGAGAGGTCCTGAAGGTGGCCAATCTGGGAATCCAGTGTGTGCAGAGAGCGTTTTATAAAGTTGACCTTGTTCCCAACCTCCTTCAGCTGCAAACACATGGCCTCAACCCTGGAAATGACAAACAGTAGCTTCAGTTAGCCACAGCTCAGTTCTTGTTGCTGCTGACCGATAATGTAACATTGCAGTTAATCGGTGAATTAAAAACATATTAATCAACAACGCAGAAGACAAAGACGTTTGGACAGTAAAAGTAGTGTAGTTTGCTGTAGTCTGTGGTCACGCCACTAGGCAATTAGTGAGATAGGTTACATGTGTTTGCCATGGATGTATTAAAGAGAACTAGAGAGCGGATTACTTAGTGGTGCATATTGGAAAAAATAAATAAATTTCATGATTCCAGATTCTGGCCATAGAACTTTGCTGGATGTTCTGCAGGCATCTGTGTTTTTGGGCTCAAAGAGCCACAAGTTCTGAGCCAGGTGACTTCAAGCTGGCTCCACGCATATACAGTAAGAATGGAATAAAACTAAAGAATCCTATTGCTTTTTTAGACTTTCAAAATGATACTGGACCAGCTAGATCAAATTCAAATGAGAAAAAGATTTTCATGGGGCTTATGATGTACTGAAAATTGTATTCACTGCTCTCACTCGGGGAAATATGCTTTTTGGGCCATTGTGCATCAGGTGATGAATGGAGAAGTTCTAATACATTAATACATTTGGCCATTACACCAAAATAGCTTCACAGTCCCATGCTGTTCCCAGGGGTTTGGAGTTTGCTGATTGCCAGTAAAGGCTGCACAAATTAGACAATGAATGCACCTTCTTGCCATCTGACAAAATATGAGGAAGCGTCTCTATTCACTGTTGGGAGTTTCAGCATAGTTGCGAACATTTTACTGAACTTTTGTCTGGCAGTTGTCTGATTTAGCACCGCAGCTGTAGTGGTGCTCTCTGCAGTCTGACACTCGGCTCCCGGCCTTAGTTAACCAAGACTATGATAGCTAATGTTCAGGGTCCCGTTCTTTGTATGTCACGTAACACATCCAAGATCAAATAAGTAATGCGGAATTTTCTAATATTGCCTAAGGTTATCCGGTTATTTCGATTCGTCAACTTCAACATGAGTTGTAGATTACAAAAGCTCAATTGAATTATCCAAGATAAAAACTTTGCTCTTGTAATTATACTATATATTTCATGAGTACTACATAAATATTGCCTCTAAGAAGGGCAATAACAGTCCCACCTTTCTGAGGTAAGACGTATGCGCTCCTCACTTCCCGAGTGAAACTGATCATTCTTTTCATGAAAGTAGGTCTCAACACACTGCTCCTCAAAATCATGAAGCTTCTTTTGGTCTTCCTCAGTGAGAAACAGCTCTGAAAGAAAGAGGATTAAATATGAGGCCAAAGTGAATAGATAACATCAAAATGTATGTCTCAACAAAAAGCCAAGCCTTGTTGCTATTGGGGAACCTCTGTTGAGCAGTTTTGTGTCCTTCACATACTCCGATTAAATGTGTTTGTGGACCCTATGAATGGCATCATGAATCATCAGTGGCAAAATGGCTCCTCTTTCAACAATTTACATGTAGGAGACAGCGACAGTAGTGTGGTCATACTTGGTCCATAGGTATTCTCCTTCTTCCTCTTTCTACACATACAGAAGAGGGAGCAGATATGGCACAGGAGGATGAAGGGAGGTGGGAGGACAGGCTTCTCGTGGTAGGCCATAATGAAGTGGTAGCGCTGGTACTTCCACACCAGATTAGCAATGGACTTTACTTGCATATACACATTGCTGAAAAAAAAAGTGCAAAACTGACACTTAGAACAATGACAATTGTGAGTAGAAAGCCAGCAATATTTTATTTAGTTTCAACACAATCCAAAGCTTGGCCATGGTGAGGCTAATGAGTGCCAAAATTCCTCTTTAAGGACAGAAGTTGGATCTGTTGTGCACTTACTTGAAGAAGGCAATGAGAAGGTTGACCATTAGTATATACTGTACAAAGAGGTAGACTGCTTGTAGAAACGGAGTCAACCACACTGCTGGTCCACACAGGGCCTTTACTTCACTGTTATTGGCGCACACTGCAAAGAGAATAAGCCCATTAGGTAACACACACACACACACACTCTCTCTCCAAATGTACTAATGATATACACACTTGGTGCATTCAGGTCTTGTTCATATGCATGTACAACTTTAGCTAAAAAGGTAAAATATAATGTGAATAAAATGACTGGGACAAGGTACACATTTACATTAAAAACCAATTTTGTTTAATATAAAACTGCCATTTTTGTAGATATTCATTGTGGTGTTTCAACTGTTTCAGCAAGAAGCTTAACTACACTGTTGGCAACTGCCAACAATGTAAACCCCCCAAAGCAAACAAAACCCTAACACATATACTGTAAACTTAATATTCAAAAGTCTAAATCTGATTTATAATCAAAGTCTATGGTCTGGAACAACTGGTGATAAGCAAATGACTTTATTAAACTTGCTTATAACTTACAAGCAGCATACACTCACCAGTAACTTTATTAGGTACATCTGTACAACTGTTTATTGAGGTAATAGTTTAAGGTGGTGTTGTACTGGACTTCATTATATTTAGAGGTGTTTCTGATATTCTGACCTCATGTATGTAGCTGAGGAGGACAAAAAATATAGACACCTCTGAATACAATGCATTCCAGTACAACACCACCTTTAGCTATGACCTCCATAATAAATATGTAATTCAATTTATACATTTATGACAATTTATTTATTTTTATTATGACATATTTCTCTGTCCACTTGTCGGTGGACAGAGAAAACTCTGTTTTCTTGGTCAGCCTTTCTTTTCTTTGCAGATTTGAACAGGGGCACCCTCACTGCATTGGTGACATAATGTCAGCATCTTCTGTCAGGGTACGTCTCGCTTTCTCTTACCCGAAGGACAGAATGTGGACGCCTGTTAACCGTTAGCTAACTAAGTCACCTATTAGGCGACCCTTGAGCTCTTGTCACTAGTGGAAATTAAATGTCATACACTTGCCGGCTCTGGTCCGGATCTGGACCAGAGTCCAGACTTTGAGAAGCCCTGTAAGGTACACATTGTAAATTACACTTTACATTTTAAAGTATACTTTACTTTACTGCAAGCAAGTACAACAGATTACTATAATTTGGACAAATAGAATGCAACTAGGATTCTCAATTCAAATATTTGTCAAAAATTAAAACCTGTAGAGCCTTTCCTTGTATTTCACTACCTATTCGCCAGCTTTTGCAAAAGATCAGTGATTAACTACTGTACATGACATATTTCAGTGGTGTGTGAAAAGTCAGGATGCCAACTCTGAACATGGATTCAAATGTACATGACTCGAGCAATAGTCATAACTGTTGCCTTTTAACCAGACTGAATCAAGACAGTCGATGCTGTGGTGAAGCAAAAAGCCCTGACCCCCCAGCCCTGAGATCTGCTCTGGCTGCGAACAATATTGTGTGAAAGAGGTTGTGAGGACAAATAATAATTACACCATTGCAGGTTTGATTACCAGTGTTTGTTCCTAGTGACAATCAGCTATATGCTGTGATGAGAAGCTATAAATACAACTATCCTTACCTTTGTAATTTCCCCTACCATTTTCATCATCCTTACCATCGATTTCATAGGCATACACTTCCCCATACATCATCCAGTATGGTTGGAAAACCACATCTTTGGCCAATGTCCAGCTGGGCTCTTCATTTGGCTTCAGAATGGCTTGCCTGGGTACGCCAAAGCTCAACAGGACAACAGCCATTATTACTACAATATAAAACATGTTGGCCACCTGTAAGAGACATCACATAGTGAATGAAACATGATTGAGGGTTTTATCAATACATGAAATAACATTTGACTTTTTAAGTCCATGTCAGAGAGTTTCTCTAAAGCACATACGTCTACTCTGGGGATCCTGAAGCAGCGCTGTTTTATTATTTTAGCTTAAAAAAACCAAACGCTTTAAAAGGTCTCTTCACTTAAAGCGTATTAAATACATAACAAATAAAAACTAGTAAAATGTATGAATAATTATTTGCTTAGTCGAAAAGATCAACGTTGTCAAATACTGAATAAGAAAAATCTAATCATTTTTGGAGACTTATTTTTTTTACATTGTAGAGAAATGGAACTAATGTTTATGACACCGTTTCTGCCCCAAGACTTTTTTTTTTTTTTAACATCAGGGAGACACACTGCCCATGTGCTATACACACAGTTTCCATGAAGAGCAGGCAGGAGATGTCAGCAGATTCAGCCCCCCCACCCCCACCCCCTCATTTCACTCAGATGGACAACAAAGTTGAGTGCCCATTATGCAGGATGAGGTTGTCTTTGGTTCTACCAGCATGACAAGTCATTTATAACACTGCCACAAAAATGTTGAGCTTCAGCAAAAAGACCAGACAGAGCAATAACGAAATATGAGTGAACTCAGCGGTTGGTCCCAGACACAGTAATTTTGAAGGGATGAGGATTACATTACAGCTATGATGAAGGCATAAATGATGGAACCTTATTCACTGTAGACTAAATATAAAGCTGTGTTAGCTTAGTGTAGCATAAAGACTGAAAAGTGGGCAAACAGGTAGCCTGCTTCTGTCCCCACTGAGCAGCACCTCTAAAATAAGACAATAACTAAACTTCAGGAAGTCAAGGGCCCAGCCAAGCAATCCCACACATAATCCCCCGTAAACCCACAACTTGCTATTTTTACACACCGTTTGTGTGTGAATTAAATAAAGAAGATACAACACATTATTTGTAATATTTTAAAAACAAAAATTGTACAAAAGTATAATACAATTTAGAGGTGTTGGGCAAATTTCTTGAGCTACACACAAAACTATATTTCTCAGTGCTTTCCATTTAGCTAAATTAGGCTAAGATAAGCCTTTAACTTGAACAGAAGTGCACTGTATTCACCAAAGGGAAAAAACAAAACAAACTTGTAACTCTGGGCAACAAAGAAAATAAAGGTTTATCATAAAATACCAGACTAATTAAATAAAGTCAACCAATTTCACAGCTTTTAAAAGTTTTCTAAAGGAAATTTGTAAAAGACTAGATATATTAATTGTGGCGTGCCTCAAGGTAGCTGTTTGGTGCCATTATTATTTCCTATTTTTATAAATGATCTTCCACTAGCTGTAAATAAAGCACAAATTGGTGTGTATGCCGACGATTCAATAGTATATGCAGCTACATCATCATTATATGAGTTGAATGAAATACTAAATGAGCTGGAGTTAGTGGCTGAATGGGTAACAAATATAAAACCAATGTTTAAGATTGGGAAAACAAAGTCTATTATAATTAAAACAAGGTATCAACTAAAAGCTGAACCAATACTAACATTGAGTGTTAACAATATACAGTACGTGGTGAACAGGTAAAGGAGACAAGACCTCGCTATAATTCTGGATAATTCATTCTCATAACCAAAACAAATTGATAATATGGTGAGTAAAATGGGGAGGGCTCTGTCAGTTTTGAGTTTCAAAAATCATGCCACCAGATGTCACTAGACAAGTTAAATGTGCTTTATTTCTGTCACAGCTTGATAATTGTTTTGTCATTTTGTCAGGTGCTCCATTGAAAGATATAAACAAAATTTATACCTTTTCTGTGCTTATTTATAAATGAACTAACATGGGAATAACACATGGGGCCATTGAACAGCTGAGCAGCCAAATGTCCAATTTCTCTTGAGCTCCAAAACCTGGATGGCTATGTGTAAGAAGGTTGACATTTCTCCCTGGTTCATACAATATTTCTGACAAAACACTTTAATTAAAGCTGACAGCCTATATTTAAAGTACATAGTTTAATTTCAAATCACTGTGTACAGACCCAAAATAATGAAAATTTTGTCCCAATGTGGCAGTTTTTGTTGACTATACATTATGTTAATTGTGGTAACTGGTAACTGTGTTTCATATAATCAAAGAACTCACCATTTTAGCAATCATCATGACATATGGCCCAGCTTGCTGGTTGACAGCCAGGATATCCAGGAGTCGCACATACCAGAAAATGATATTGAGGCAATAAACTGTCCTCCCAGGGACGAAGGCATCACCTCCAGCCAACCTCAGGCCAAAGCCAATAAAGAAGCTCACTAAGGCCAGAAAGTCAGAAACATTGAAATAGTCACTGAACCAGACCTTCACCTTCTGGCTTATTTTGCCTGCTTCAGACATGAACATCTGGGGGGAAGAAAGAAGAAGAGATAAAATAATCAAAGAGATTAATCAAACCGTCTTTGAAGAGCTGAACTCTCTTGAAGTTCATTTTAGGACAGGACTACAGAAAACAAGCTCATATCAAAAGCTAAAGTGTCTCACTGCCATATGAATACATGTATTATCACTATTTTAAAACCAAAGCTTTGGCTGTGTGCTTCTGAAAAAGTACTTCTCTTCCACTAACCTCTCGAATTTTCTCAATGGCAGAGGTAAAGATGTAGAGGATCACCACCCACTCTTGAGGAGAAGGCCATTCAGGTATTTTCACCAGGACCACATATGTGTACAACATCAAGAAGCCCAAATAGAAGAGCTGTCAGTGGGAAACATACAACAATTAAGACTCAAACAACTCTAAAAACACTGATACTTTTTCAAATGCAATAAGGGATTAATTTTTCCATGAATGCTGTCATTTTTCCAACATATGCCATAAATGTAATATACTGAATACAAGATAGACTGGATGTAAATAACTGGCCTGTGTTGGCAGCACCTCTAAATTCATCCATTTTCAGGGAAGGGATACTTCCCTATATATTTTAGGACAAAGTCAGTGTCAGTGACAAGGCTTGAGCATGAAGGAGCTGCATTTCATTATGGCACTTTGAGTTTGGAGCATAAGCTAGTGGTTAAGGTGCAGCGCTCTCGCCGCTGTGGCCCGGGTTTGATTCAGGGTTGCATTGGGAAAGGCATCCGGCGTAAAACACGTGCCAAATGTCAACATGCGAGTCGCCAGTGTGACGATTCGCTGTGGTGACCCCTAAACGGGAAAAGCCAAAAGTGACTTTGAGTTGGGAATAAATAGTCCACTCAGTGGACTGATAACAAACCTGAAGGAGGTACTCTTTTATTCAAATTTCAACAAATATCAAACAAATAAAAGAATTTTCAAACTAAAGTGGATATTTTGTCAAACTGCTCCATTACTTTTTACAGGACTATTAGACGTTTACTGGGAAATATACTACCATTAGCCTCTTTTGTACATTATTTTGCGCTAATTAACAAATGTTAACATGGTAGCTAAGATAGTGAAAATGCAGCTACAGTACCTAACGTCAGCATGTTACCATTGTCATCATGAGCATGTCAACATGCCAAAATTAGCAATTAGCTCAAACCATTACTGTGCTGGCACAGCTATTAGCATGGCTGCAGAGTTGATTTAATTGTCAGGTACCCATTTATACAAATTAGTTTTAAAAACAAATAACATTCCATTTACATAAATCATGATGAGAGATTATAAAGTAATTTGTTATTCATTTTTATTTTGTGGTGTATACCAATCAGTATTCGACAAAATGTTAGCTCTCGCCTAACAGATCCTTCAAACAGCTTAAATCAAATGATGCTTTTATCTTTATCATTTAATGTACAGCAACAAATATAGGTAATGTATGATTGTTGACCAGTGGTACATTGACTCTGTTTAAAGCACAGGTCACCAGACTAAGACTGTGGGAAAGTGAGAAAATAGCCATGCAGGCAGGCTAGTTGAGCATTCATAGTCTCCCACACAAACACGTTTGTATAGCTATCTTTGTGAAGACATACACTGACATAATGCATTCCCTAGCCCCTAACCTAATTCTAACACTTAACCCTAAAGCCAGGTCTTAACCATCAAACAGCCTTTTGGAGGAGTCCGAAAAAGTGAGGACACACACACACACACACACACACACACACACACACACACACTCTCTCCTTGGTACAACTTGGACCAGGTCAACCATTTCAAAAATTGCTCAACCTTGAAATGCAATGTGTGAATTGTTGGAAAATCGGCCATTAACATGGCCCTCTGACAGGTAAGTCACTACTGCAGTTCTGCGTTGATGTGTTGAAAGTAGATGTAGATAAGCTCAGGCTATAGTAAATGAGCAATTTCAGTGATTGGATCAGCACCTCTCAGCACTGTTTCTGCAGATTAAAACCTCAGTGAAGGTTCTTGAACAAGCCTCAGGCCTGTGTACATAAATAAACTTCTGAACATGTGAGAAAAGATGAGTGAGAACCCCACATGAGCACAGACGCCCTTACTTGTGACAGTACAGGTGTGTATTTAGGAAAATGTGTGAAAATAAGTTTGAACTGCTGCTACTGCCTCTTTTTTGGCAGTGTAGTAGTGTTTAAAAGTTATGTTCAAAGGCAATAATATGCAGAGGCTTTCATTTTGTAAAATATATTTTTTTAAAGCAGGATGGTGTTGCAACTCACCTGGAATCACTGCTATACCACTCAGGGAACGGCTATGCCAAGGCACTAGGAAAGGAGACTACAACTGACTGCTGAGCATTATATTCAGTAGATTCTACCCATGGTCCAGACAAAATACTATGTGTGGTGTCTTTACTAGATGCATGTTAGAGATTTGGAAATGTTGTATAATTGTGTTCCCTGAGCTTTCCCGTGCAATTTCCTGCTTTTCTGAATAATTTGGTCATGAAATGTAATCTGACCTTCACCAAAGTCAGAAATATTTCAGCCCTGATCTTTCATGTCATTATTGAACACACCCATTAAACATACAAAGTGATGGTGGAAAAAGTCATTGCAACAGGTTTATGAGGAGCTTTGGACCATTCTTCCTCAAGAGAGCTGCTTCAGCTCCGCCATATTCTTAGGACATCTGGTGTGAATGGCTCTCTAGAGGTCATTTCACAGCATCTCTATTGAGCTGAGGTCTGGACTCTGACTGGGCCACTCCAAAAGGCGGATTTTGTGTCTGAAGCCATTCTGCAGTAGATTTACTTCAATGTTTAGGGCCATTGTCCTGCTGCATCACCCAGCTTATTCTGAGCTTCAGCTTGCAGACAGCCACCCTGACATTATCTTGTAGGATACCTGGATAAACTTGGGAATTCATTTCCCCCTCCACAATGGCAAGCAGTCCAGGTCCAGAGGCAGCAAAGCAGCTCCAAATCATGATGCTCCCTCCACCGTACTTCACTGTTGGGATGATGTTTTCATGTTGGCACGCAGTTCTCTTTTTATGCCATAAGTAGTGCTGTGTGTTCTTCCCAGACAATTCTACCTTCGTTTAATTTGTCCGTGGGACATTTTCCCAGTAGTGCTGTGAAGTCTCAAGGTGACCTTTGGCAAGCATCAGGCCTGCTGCAATGTCATTTTTGGAGAGCAATGGCTTCCTCTGTGGCATCCTGCTATGGAGACCTTGCCTGTTCAATATTTTGCATATGGCTGACTCATGAACAGAGATGTTAACCAACTCCAATGAATCCTTCATATCTTCAGCTGTTACTCTAGGGTTCTTATTTACCTCACTGAACATTCTGTGCTGTGCCTTTGGAGAGATCTTGGCTGGGTAGCCACTTCTGTGGAGAGCAGCCACAGTACCAAATCATTTCCCTTTATAGACAATATGTCTAACTGTGGACTGATGAATATCTAAAGTCTGAGATGACTCTGTAACCCTTTCCATCTACATACAAATCAGCAACTCTTGATCATAGGTCTGAGATCTCTTCTTCTGCGAGGCAGCTACAGGAAGCGCTAGCTTGAGATTGTTGCTGTCAGAGGTGGTTCAACCGGTTATTAAAACACTATCACCATTACTTGTTCCACCAACACTTTATATGTTTAATAGCTATGTTCAATAAAGACATGAAAGATCATGACTGTTTGTGCTTAAAAATAGTGTTTGTTAACATTTGTGACTTTGATGAAGATCAGATCACATTTATTGAACAAATTATGCAGAAAAGCTGGGAACTGCAAACAGTGCCATTACTTTTTCTTGCAACTGTATCTGTCCACTGTGTGAGCTACAGTGAAAGAATGTGTTTCCATTCCATCCCGCTACTTTCTGTATGGGTCTCTTACAGTATTTATGGACAGTCAGATCCTGGATAGTGCCTAATTCAGTGACATTAGGGTGGTGTCTCAGCATCTAGGGGCCTTAATATGTAGGAGAGTCTTCAGAGAGAGTTGAACTATCTAAAAGATCTCACTGACAAGCTACTGGTCCTGGGTGTAAACATCCACTCTGTTAGGGCATGACGATGCGAGCATTTCACTTACACATGCAAGTAAAAATCAATGTGCGAATGACAAATTATTTGGTGGTGGTACCAGGTTATGGAAAAGGGCCTAAATTTTCATACCGTGTTGAACCAGAACTTGACAATGGGAGCATGGTAGAAGGCATAAAATTTCCTTCCTAAAGGCAGCTTCCTGGAGCGAACATGAGTCTCCATGTCATTTTTCACCTCCACATGGTCACTGGATCTGGTCTCCTTAAACACATCCTGCAGAGGGACCCAAGGATACAAATCAGAAAACAGCAGGCCACAATGTGGAGAGAAAATGCAAAAGAGACAGAAGTAAACAAATGATCAGCAAACTTTTTACAATACAACAGAAAAACTGCCTGTTCACAGCTGGTGAACTCTAACACTGTTTTAACTATAACACATTGAGATGTTTTGATCTTTAAGACTCAATGAATTCACAGGGTGAGAATATATTGTTGAGGTTTTAGAAAAAGACAAAAGATGAAGAAAATAAAAAAAGGTGACAGTAAAACAGGTGAACAGAGGGGCTTAGTAAATCTGACCATTTGGATATCATCAGCTGTGTTCTGGAAGTTGTGTTCGCTGTCCTCCATGGTCATTTGATGATCATCCTGACTCTGAGGGATGTGTGCCATCTCAGCCTTGGATTTGTACTCCAACAGAAGGATGGCAGGAGGCACCATGATACTCAGAATCACCTAGAGACAAGCACACACATTTATGTGGGTAAATGCTGCTATATTTATCGAGGGAGTCCTTTCAATTACAAGCACTAATTAATCCCTACTCTTTTACTGAATAAGACCAAATGTCTCCTGAACACTGAAATACAAACCATGGTAGAAAGAGCACACATAAAATATCCTGTCCTCATTTAGCAGTTTTTCACCCATCTAAATATTTTATGCAATGATGATGACTCAGGACGAACCCTGCTGAAAATGTTCCCACACTGATGCAAAGACAATAATGATCTGATATTACTGGTCACCCAAGACAAACAAATAAGAGCAAATTATAGCATGGTAATTCAGAAAGAGTAACAAATCAAAACAAGTAACTTGGGAAGACAAAGTAAACTGAGCTACACACAGGACATCTAATAATACATCTAATAATCTTGTACCAATAAATATTCCATTTATTTTGCTTTAATTCTCAATTAATTCTGAAATTGGTTCATTGTTATTTGTGACACTGAAACCAAAAACGCAGCAATGTTTTTACAGCAAAAGTACAAAGATTCTAGAAGTGTAAGCTACAACCTGGAGTTCAAGAAATGCTACTACACCTTGTACCAGCCAAGCACGACCACTCATAAATGTTGCCTCCTTTTATCATCAGAAATCAGTCAACTAAATGACACTTGACATGTACTTGGACTGAGATTGGGATCAGATATGGCAACAAACCATTGTTCAAACTCCAGGAACACTATACCGTCTGCCAACACTTTTACATCAATCTGTAATGAACCATAAAAATGGTTGATTCACACTGTTGAACCCCAGTGACCACTGTAAACTGAAATCAAAGCACAGCACTAGATGTTCATCAGTTACCAAAAATATAATCTAGATGCAACATGAACCTTGTACCAGGAGTTCTTGCGCATGTTCAGCCTTCCCATCCACATGTCTGACAGCAACATCTGGGTGCATGTGTGAGCCACAAAGGGCCGTAGGTGTGACGAGACAGCCAACTTCAAACAGGTGGAATTGCTCCAGTTCTTTAGCTCATATGTCAGCAGCTTCATGGCCATGGTCTCATCTTGCCTGAACGACTGCTCCAGCAGGTCCACTGCTAACGTCCCAAACTCACTGAAACACATCAGCGTAATGAGCAAGGCTTCAGCATTTACATTGTGAAGGAAAGTTGACAGGTTTATAGCCATTTAATGTTTATATTACAGCCACAGAAGGACTTACTTTGAGTATTCCTTGAGCTCCTCTGACGTGTCGTCCACCACATCACTCTTTTTGGCTTCATAGCCCATAGACCTGCAGAGTTTACATGCCACCAGTGCCTTGGCCATGTTCTCCTCACCGTGCTGCCAGAAGAAGAGTGACATTTTCTGTCTCCTCATCAGCACAGCCCACACCAGCAGCTCATTGAAAGGGTAAGGAAACCGCCGTGTCTCTGGGTCATCTATGTCGACAATCTCCTCTTTGCTCTTTTTGCTCTGCTCCATGGAAGACTCGAGCTAGGAGGAAAAGGAAGGAACAGCGAGAATGGCAGAATGGGACAGATTTTTTTTCTCCATTGAGTGGCTCCTTAAAAAGACAGACCTCTTTATGTCTAAATATTTCTGTGCATGTGGGTTACTCCAGTGAAAAGGAAGTTCTGTTTTAAATTGAACAGTGGGCATTTACCTTTGGTTTGTATGGCTGTGCAGTCTTGATGAAGTGGTTGTGTCTTGTCTTCTCCTTTTTGTCAGCCTGCATGCTGAAAGACTCATGACCTTTCCTCAGCTGAGAACCAGGGCCTCCTGTGAGGCGCCCCGACCTCTGTGCAGAACATAACATTTTTGGATTTACTTAATTTCATTCCCCTAATTTTAATAAGATTTGACAATACATTTAAAGGCTTAGGTCAAGTACAATTCATGAAATTTTTATTATAATATTTTTTATTTTTTCTAAATTCTCATGACATTCCAGGGTTTAACTCCAAAACATCATAAAACTTTTAAATGCAAAAGTTTCAAATAACATCTGAAGCGGTTTTGGACATTGTATTACAGACACACACCAACAGTTCAAACTCACCCTGCTGATACCATGGAGATTGTTGTAAATTATTCGGAAGCGTTTCCTGGTGTAGTTGCACCTGTAAGTCCCACCCATCAGGAACTCAATGACCAGGCCCACGTCAATCAAAGTGATTCTATAATTTGGAGGCAGATGACTCTGCAAGAAGGCACAGACAAAATGTTGACATTAAACTGAGCGGGCTAACATCAAATGATAAAAATTATATGAAGTGGACTAACTACCTTTTTAACATCTCTAACCAGGTGGAGGAGAGTCAGGTTGTTTGGAAGTTTCTAAAGTAGAAGACACATAAAATATAAAACCATAAAGAAACAAACAGTTATTTTATCATTACTTCAAATGGTCCATCTCCTTTACAGGTGCCTCATAATGTTACCGTGTTGTAGAGCTCCTCCAGCCGGCTGATTGTTAGGAAACGATGCATGCTCACACCGTTTTCTATGAGCAGTTTGACAAAATCCACCCTGTCCATTACAAGTGCATCCAACATGGCTTGCTCCAAAGAGCTCACCTATAAAACACAGGAAGAAAACATATTGTGAGACATGCTTTTAGCCCAAATAATCTATTACAATGAAAGAGAGGCCCAAAATATGGGCAAATTTAAACACACACACACTAAAAATTCTCTCCTTGACCCAAGAGCCAGGAGTCCCTGAGCTGAAAAGTAAACATAAACACACAGCTTATGAAGATTACTCTAACGGGGATCATGTTACAGTCAAGAACAGCAGTTCATGGCAGCTATCTAAGTCCAATCCTCTGACTCTTCAGACTGAAGACGAGGGTCAGCAGGGACATCCAAGCAAACATCTCTGTTAGCTGTGGCTCTCTCTCTCTCTCTCTCACACACACACACACACACACACACACACACACACAAAAACATAAACATACCAGGAGCTGCTGTCCATACACAAACACGTGATTCTTGGCAATGTCTACACGGTTCCATGCCAGAGTCAAGACCAGCTGATCGAATGCAGATAAGTTTGTGCCTGAAATACACACATACAGCCAAGTGTAAATACACACAAATGGATATTAATTCC